TTGAAATACAATGGCAGCGCATGAAAATGTGACGACATGGGAAGATGCCTTTTATTGGTTCACCGCGTTCTAAACTATCCAGATAATGTATTTCATTGCACAATGCCTCAATATGGGCTGAATTGGGACCTCACCATACCACTCCATGTTCTGGGATCCCTGGCCAGTTGTTCCCGCAGAACACGAGCCCTTCTGACATTTGCTGACGCCGACGCTGGCCTAGATCCCATCCGCCGGGATCGCCCGCTGGTGGACGGGTGCCCCAAGGAGCTGCCAGCCGAGGCTGGCCTTCGGGATGACCCTCCGCGCCGCTGGCAGCTGGCGGATAACGGAGATTCGGAACGAGGGGACTGCGACCAGCCTCCTGTGGACGATTCCCCTGGGCGATTACAAACGTTCATTCAGAATCGACTGCCCAGTGTTGGCGGCTCGGCCGCTTGCAAACGGAGATGAGACAGGGACTCTTGCTTCCGCGCGGCGATCCACATCCCACCTTCTTGCGGACTGCTAGTTGGCCTGAATGAGCCGGGCTCGCATGGCTCTCGTATCCCATCTCGAGAAACATGCCTGCTCAGTGCACAGAAGTCTTCTCCATTGAAGCAGCGCTCGTCCTCAGCATACGGCGCCTGTGTGCCCAAAGGAAAGAGGAGCGCGCCCTCACGGAAAAGGACATCGGAAACTTGAAAGTAGACTCTCGCACTGTTACATTCTGGTGTTCAGCACATTCAGAATGGGATGCGAAATGGCATTGCGCTAATTTCATTTCACAGCGAGTGCGAATTGACAATAACCTAAATCTAATCCATCTTTTGGTCCCTCTTCCGTGGTTGTTTAATTCACTTGACACTGTGACATGTTGGGGCCAACAGCGTCCCCATTATTGGAAAGTTGCATATGGGCCCTGCAGCTTGAAGCTCATTCGCAAACTTTTGTCAAGGAAATGTCCATTCTACATTTCATAGAGTGTGCGGACCCACCCTCCACAACCCCACCCACCCATACACCCCCAAACCCTCTAAAAGAATTGTGAATGCTCTGTTGCCGTTGAAACCACCCAGTTCATTGTTGCATTCATGCCGATTCATTGCCCCTTGTGTTGGCATTATTGCCCCTCCCACTGTTGAGAGAATTGCTCACTTACGCTTTCCCCATTTTGGCACCGATTTCTGAGGATTTGCATAGAAGCATTGTGTGAGGCGCTTTCACTCTCTTCGGGACTCCCGCATTCTCCCTGCTCATCAGATTCCTCCCCGCCATCCTGCTGGCCGAGGTGACTTCTTGTGCTAGTAGTGCATGGCCGGCCAAGAGGCGACTGCAATTGCAGACAACACACCATGTCAGATGCAACCCGCATGAGAACCCAGGATTGCAATCCTCATATAGATGGGATTGCGCACAAAACCAGCGCGCTATCAATTTCCATCTTCAGCGTTTCAATTTTCGTGCATTTTATCTGGCAACTGCAACAAGACAATGTTCTTTGGGGCCCCCAGAGGCCTGCTCCAGGGTCAGCTGTGGCACATCCTATGCTGAGTGATGGACTAACGACGTCATTCAGATATGTCATAGCATTGCCAAGCATACAGCACATGGTGGCCGAATATTGCACCCTTGTTTGAGGGACGCCTTGCGCACTGAGCTAATGCACCCTTCAAATATGGCAAATAGCCGGGCTGTTTGTACCCAGGCAGGCATTCAGTGATCCGCCATCATCTGAATGCAATGACCAGCTCCACTATGAGTCTATTTCTGCATCTCTGCCACGTCACGACAATACCGATGGAGCAGCATGCAAAATGCATTGGTTCGGCTCCTACAGGACTCGAATGCATGTTTGGTTTGTGTTTTAGTGCGATACACGCCTGAGAATTGCAGCTTGCCTCTCCAGCGGGTACTCCAAAATCGTCCTGTGCATACGGGTAGGCAAATTGTCAACTTTCCATTTTGATCGCCTCCACTGTACATGCATTAAGATTTCCATCCTATTCTTCAAGAATACAGCACATGAAACGAGCTCTTACGAAAAGCTCATTATCCCCATCAACAAAACGCGCATACCAATGCGAGAAGGTAACCACCAGCTCCCCATTCCCCCCGATCGATGCAGTGTTCACGATTCGTTCCATGAAAACCCAAAATAATGCCACTATACAACCACTGACCAGCTATGTATCAGAAAGCACAAATCCAGAAATGCGGGTGATCAAACCGCCATAGCCCATTGTTTGTAATTCCAAGCTAGGAACCCCTAAATGTCGCCAAGCCCAAGGGAATCAGTTCTGTTCATTCCCCTTTATCTAATTCAGACTATCGATGCTTTCGTCCGTGCTTTCAAGCTGAGATCAGAAACTGTTGCCAACCTGCTGGGCGAGCCTGGTGTTGCTCTATCTACTGATCCAAAACATTTTATTCAGAATTGAAGTACGTCACTTGGAGTCAACTTGAAATGTGAATTGCGACAGAAGGCCCTTCTTGTTGACGTCCGCTTCATCCACTGCAACCGACAGCCGACTTTGAAGTTTTGTGGGGTGCGAGGTTGCAATTGTTCTTTGTTCTGGTATGTTATCTTCCAGGCAAACAAACGTTGCCGTTACTCCAGTTTTCCGGGAGAGCCCGTCGCTCATAGAATTTTCTACACTGCTTAGAGCGCCCCAATTGCATTGGATATTCAATCTTTTCCACGGAGCTTGCAGCAACGGTGTTCCCCATTTCATACTGAAACTTACATATGACCCTGCCGAGCTGCTCAGCTCTTGCCTTCGAAACACGCCAACGGCAAGTGATGTCAAATCGGGGTGAAGAACTTGCCTAATATTTCAATCATGGATAGAAAAGGGTCCAGGTTGTGTTCATGCCATCTCAGTTAAGCACTCCTTGCAGAACCAAAATGCATTTGTGTTGTCGATGAGGTCAGCACCCTGGCGGCCAGACGGCTGCAAACTGGGATGGACTGTGCGAGCGCTGCTGAGAGGTTTCGGAGATTGCTAGCTTCTGTAAGTTCGACATCGGCTGCGAATCAACATATGCGCTGGCGAGGTCGTTGGGAGGCTCCGCACTTACGTCGTCGCGGTCAACGTCGTCGTCTTCAATAAAAGAATCGTCGTCGTATTCCCCGTCGTTCATCGGCCCCCGTTTGCTTCCCTCGAATAGAAGAGATACGATGGTGGTGGCTCGCTAAGATTAGGCGAGCTCCACAGGTACGAGCTCGTGTTAACTTGGGGCCCACCGCGTCAGTGGTCTGATTGGCGATGGTATCCCTATGGCTACAATCGACCAACAAGATAATGGCAAAATCCTCGCAACAAACGCGGTAACGACGAGCGCATAAGGTCGCCACAATCATTGCTGCCTGCCATCAAAAATATGGATGTCACGGCCTTGTCGTTGAATAAGAGAATCTCCTTCCCTTGATATGTAATGTTCCTTGAGTGAATAGATAAAGGAACCCACTGGGTTTGAGCAGAATTGGGAGGTGGTGGCTATCTCATTGCCATTGCGGGTGGAATTTGTGGGAAAACTGATGGCGCTGAGATCTCTGTGCTCAGAAGAAAATGTTGGGCATGGGTTGGGCGCTCTCTGTTGCGGTGAGCAAGCGCTGTTCTGCGACAGATTCCACCCTAAGGTGGCGCTGACTAGGCCGTGAGGCTGCCGTGCACTGTCATGGGCTCATGGGATCATTGATGCAATGGGGTTACCAACCTCGCTGGTTGTTGTCAGGATGCCCACCTGCCAAAAGTTTGGGGCGTTTGGGAACTGTTCCAGTTGCAACTCGGCAAACCAATCTCAATTGAAACATGTCAGCTCTTGCTGTACTGTAAGATCTCCACTCGCATTGCGCACAAGGCTTGCGAAAAAGGGCCCCAGGGTTGGCGATGAGCCAACACATTGCACGATGCACGAGCAAGGCAGGGCGCTCGCCAACTTCCCACGAGGGATCTGTGCGCACAGACGGGCCGCTCTGCGGCTTCGTCCAGCGCGGAGGTGGGACAGGCCGAGCGCGACTCGAGGCAACGATGCCACCTCAGCGCCTGTGGAGTCGCAGGCTGACGGAGCTCCGGCTAACGGAGATGGGGCCACAGGCGAAGGGAATGCCCAGCGCAAGACATACGAGAGGCGGGTGACGGGTTTCCCTGGTATCGTGGTTGAATTTGATGAACCAGAGGAAGAACGGAAAAAGGGGCAGATAAAGCCAGTGTCGCTGCTCCTCACGACTGGGGGCGTTGCCCTAATGTTCACTCTCATCACGACGCTGTTGTCTCTGGGGAGCTGAGTGTGAAGACTATTCCTGCAGAGGGAGAAGGTGGTTTTCTCTGAGTTGTTGCTTGGGCAAGCTTTGTCCAGTCGTTCTTGTAAGTACAGGGCGCATGTGTCTCGCTCTCACGCCTTCCACTGAATGAACGAGTCAATGCGAGAATTAGGATCATGCACAATGATCGACGATGCAAGCAGTGCGTCTAACTTTGTAAATTTTGGACAAAACGTTGTGTACGCGCCTGGATTGTGCAGCTTGTGCGAAACATGTGCTTGCCATTTGCTATTGATCGCATCGCACTTGCTCAACAGAGCCTATAGGCTTTGAAATGTCAGATGGCAGCACTTTACATATTTGGCAGCATATGTGGCCCCTGCAGCATCTCCGTCTAACACAAGCCAATGGCAGCTGAATCACAACAATGGGGCACCATTCAACAAAAGCACAAACAAGATTGCGCCCACCCATGCCACTCCTCCTTGGCTCAGGCCTTTTAAAAGGCCAAAACGAACAAAGTCATGGGAGAGATAGCTATACTATTGAGGGTTCACATAGGAGAAAGGTAGCGGGGCGCTAACCAGTGTGCACAGTCACTAAAAGGACAATCGCGTCTAAAACAACGGGATGAAACTCAACACAGATACTGCATCTTGACCCTCTTGAAGCCAGGAAGCCAAGTCGCTCAGAAGCCAAGCTGTCCAGTGTGTGAAAGACGTGGTGTGGAACATTGAACTCGAATTAGCGCAGCTCAGCAGCGCCCCATCAGTCCCAGATTCTCTTGCAGGATCCTCCAGCGCTCTGGCTCAGCATCAAATATGTATGTCATTGGCTGCACAAGGACATCTCGTCCTCCAACCTACGAAGCACCACTCAGCGGTTGGGGATCTGCATCAGCCGATGGCAGGCCACAGCCAGACACGCAGGCACACATGACTCTCTTACCTAAGGACACTGCCTGGAATGCTGGAAATCGGTGGCATTGCGTTTGTACAGGCGAGCAGAAAGCATGAAGTGCACCGGATTGTAGTACTGGATTCATCGAGCTGCGGCTGCCATCTCATGCTGTGTTTCTTTCTGCTATAAAATGTTGCTGTTATGGGCACTACGGGAAACTCCATCAGGATTCCAGGAATTCCTACTGGAAGGTCTCCTGTGCTGCAAGGGGCATATCAGCGGGAAGCCCCAAGGCATTGACGTTGATAAAATTCATCCTTTGACATCACATATTTTCTTTTTGAGCATTTTGTTCGCCAGCCCTCCCTGCAGCAATTCCACGCCGACTGTCACAACTCCTGAGCCACCAGCCACTGCTTACCTTCCTAAGCTCCTTGACACACCTATAGAGCTCCTTCTTCTTGATACATATAACAGCTGCAAAGGCACGGGGCCCATCGGCCACAGCCCCTTTCGAGCCTCGCCCTGCATAGACAGGACTGATGGTGGGACCCTCCAAGCCACCAAGGTCTTCTGCGCTGTTTAGTTTATGGGCAACATCCTCCATGCTGTCCCCATGCATGTTGGCGATGACAGAGTAGTAACCATCAGCAACAAGGTGTGCTTCAAACCGCTCGATCAGTTCCCTTGTCACCTCCAGAAGGCCAGGTCGCTCCTTCAACGATTGTCGGTTTGCTACCAATATTCCCTGGCTTTCCAGGACCTGAGGCGCACGCACATCAAATTGGCGCTCACTGGCATTCGCCAATAACGAAGTTCCAATGACTGCAAAGTGGCACAAAATGAACCCAAGTCTGATGTGACAACTGGGCCTTGAAATGTAGCAACGCAATGTTAGTACAGTCCCACCAAGCTGACCCTGGTAACAAAAACACCAATAGCACAAGCAGACACCAAGCTGTGGTGTACTGCTGATGAAAATCAAAAGCCACTGGTCTGCAGCAATGTGCGGTAATGTGTAGTTAAGCATCCCAGCTGCACAATGCGCTGTTTTCCAAGAACATGATGGCCAGAATGGTTGTAGTTGACAGTGCACTGTAGAACATTGATGGCATGTGCCCACAGGCAATATGGCAGCTCAGACAAGAACAAGGTAATAAAGGGCTTTACTTCGGCAATACTCAACCATTGCCTGTTGGCTGTGAAATTCAGGCACTGCTGATCAGCCCCAGGTACAGCAGGCTTGAAACCAGCATCTGGGAAAAGACAAAGGAAAACAACATTCCAGTCTGCAAGCCAAACAGGGCAAAAGAGCCAGCAAAGAATGCACTCACAGAGAATCAATCGATGCATCTGAAATTGAAAGTGAGAGAAAGGCCAGCACTCCATTGATGACAAAGCAAGTAAAGCTAAAGCAGGTCCCCCCCACATCCACAATGGGATGCAGAATGAAAGCTATGGATGCTGGCACTTTGACTGATTTTTAACCTGGTGACCCAACTGACGGTTCTGGCACACACAAGATATCAGAAAAGGCACTTGTGACAGAGTCATAGCATTTGGCAGTAATCCCCAATCCTGCAACGAGACAATCTGCCACATTTGTACAGGAATGGTTGAGATAAGTGTCCAGGATCCATCCATGCACTTCTTCCTGTGCCTTGCCTTTCCCCCTTCAATCTCCTTGAGGTTGTTCTCGCGCAGTGTAACCCCCGTAGACACCAAATCCAGTATGATATCGGCCGATCCCATTGCCGGTGCAGCCTCCAGCGCTCCATCCGCACTGACCAAGCGGACGTTCTGGAAACCTTTCATGGAAAAAAAGTCCCTGGCAATCCTTTGGTACCCTGTCACAACTCGCAGCGGTCTCGACTCGGACCATTGTGGCATCTTTTTCAACTGTTCCAGCGTGGAGATGTCTGCAAATGCTCCAGAGGTGGGAATGCCAAGGGCAAGTTTGCAGTGCCCAAAATCGAGGGCATCATGAACAACAATCAAGTCGCCTTCATCGTCCCCAGCCAACTCAGCAAACATGTCATATCCCACAATGCCAAGGTCCACATCTCCAGTCTTGATCTTGCGCACAACGTCAGAGGCCCTTTGGAACCACACTTCCAAGCCAGGCAGCTGGACGATTCACACCGACAAAGGATAGCAAAATCAGAATTCAGATAACAATACCTCAAAACAATAGAGATTGCTCTGCCACACGATTGCCAACCGGTGCAGTCCAGCATTGCCCTACAACGCTTGGTTTCAGCAAGGCGCCCCAGTCACAAACAGGAGCAAAGTGTTGCAAGACGAACAAGCAAAACGAAAAAGAGAACAAGCAAACAAATGCTGCACTGTGTTATAGACAACCCATCAAAGACAGATCAGGAATCGCAGTGCGGTTGGTAAGATGGCACACGTAGATGAAAGCAATGTCTGTACAGGTCGTGCTGGTCACCTGGGGAATAGTTGCCACGTACTGCCGAGGATTGGGCTTGTACACTGCCAGCTGGCAATCCTGGGAATGCCACAAACTGCAGAGGAGTCAGACCTGCAAACCCTGTGTTGATTGTCGCCCATTAAATTGATGTTAACACAATTTGCCCCTGCACAGTCCTCACCAAACCATGGGACGTTGTATTCATGAGCTCATCAGATAGGAGGGGCCTCAGTTTTCTGACAGCAGTCACCTTTAGTAGCTGTAGAGTGTCTTCTGCCATCCTGCCTTTGCTGGGAAGGGCAATTCGCATTGTGTCACGCTGTATAGGTCTGAAGGGTCGCGTTGATGTGTGATCTGCATCAAAATGCCAGAAACTTGGAAGGTTCACTGTGTGAAGTTGGTTCCCAGACTGTCTGTCCTGTCTGATTTTTTGCCATGTGTATCTTATTAAAAGCGTATGCTTCCGCAGCCTCATTTGGATGCACGCAGTGGGTCTTGACATGCAATATAAAACAGCCCGATGATAACAGCCCGATGGTCGGCAGTGAATGATACAATTGGAGGTTGATTGCCCCCCACTTGCCAAGAACTGGATCACACTGAGGCCTGAGCCAGCTGCTCGAATTACCATTGGTCAGCTCCTCTGCCCTATGAGAGAGGCTAGCACAGGTGACCAGACTTCTTGGGCGCGCTGTTATGTGTGCCACTCTTCTCCGGGGAAAGCCGGCACCCGCAAACCAGTTGCGGGACCATGCTTGTTGCCGTTGATATGGCTGTCCTTGCGAAACAGGAACCTCCATAAGTCTCCGGGCCGCAGTTGGTTGCAGAGTGGGGAGGGGGAAGGAAAGGTGCCGCCCAAAGAGTACGTGTCGCCCACGCCCCAAGTGCGGCCACTTCGCCGAGGCCGCAAGCCGATGGCGAGACTCTGTTCCATCACCGCTGTTTTTTTTCCCCAGTGGGCATCGCCCGTTGTCGCTTTTTTTGCACGTAGCCCCAGGAGCGTATTGCAAGCTGACGACATGCATTGCGGCCTGGCGTCGACAGGAACCGTGTCCCTCTTTACGGCAGGTGTGCAACGCAAATCGTATCATGTGCGATCTTTTCCTTGTTAGCAGCTGCGACTAACGTCCTCAAAAATATGCAAAATGCAATCCCAGGGCTGCTTTCCTTTACTTACTTGTATGCAGCAAGAAACGGTGTTTGTGCGTATTGTTCCCTCCTCTTGTCTTCACTTGCTGATGTTAGTGTAGTGTACAATTGTGGTCGTCTTGAGCCCATCATGATCCTGATAATCGACTTCCCATTTCCCCTGATGGTATGGGCTGCAGCCCAACTGCACTATTTGCCGTGCAGGCTGGCGTGAATATTGCCGCGGAAGGTGCATTTCGGGGATGAATATGTCTTGATGCAGCGGCACATGACAAAACCACTGTGTGCTTCACTGTACTGCTGGTGAAGATGCAGTTATCATTCTGACACACACTCCTGGAAGCTGTTTCGCTCATCTAATTGCACTCCTTGCAGTTTTAGTTCTTGCAAGTATCTATTTGTGTTCCAAAGTTCGGTGTTCAAAGGATAATCCGAGTTCAACGCATTCTCTCTTGAGGTAGTTCTGCAGTGTTAGTGTTGGGGATTCCTTGCTACATGGCAATGTTGTTTTGAACATGTCGATGGTTTGCGCCAGATATGAGCTGATATAGTTGATCCTCAGTTCATGTATTCCAATTTACTGGACATGGTTTCAATTCGTGCCTTGTGGATGGTACAGGCCAATACTCCCAAATGAACCTCGTGGAATTATGCATCAGGATGCAACACAAAGTGGCCTTGCAGCATACATGTTCCGCCCAGTCGCTAGAGCTCGTTATCTGCCAGTGCTGCCTGGCGAGATGCAACAGCTGGTGCAAACAGGATCCCACCGAAGTTGGCATCACAAGCATCCGCACGTGCACACAAGTGAAAACAACACTTGCCACAGCTGAACTACAGCCCACATTCACTCTCAATGCATCGGTCCGATGTCCATTACCCCCCTATCCCCCACAAACTGCATCATTCATTCACACCCTGCAATCTGCAAGTCGAGCCCACTGCATGTCCCACCGAACACAAAAGAATATCAAAGTGAATTGGCAGTAGATGAGACAAGCTGATGGTCAAGATGGGACCAGCGGCAAGTGGCATCCCCCAAGCCAGCCTTTCACATGGTGCAGCTTCTTCCATTTTGTTCTTCTGCCGCTAGTCAACTGGACAATTTCAAAGCTTCCTGATCGTTTCCCTCAAACCCTTCTTGAGCTACCTCAACGTCCTTATTCCAGAACCATGGAGCAAGGAGATGCCCTACCAAGCAACAGAAAAGAAATGCCTCTGACAATTCGGTACTCCAATCAGAACAACAGGACAAGGCAGAGGTCATGCCTGCCCTCTGAGCCATTCCGAGACATGCACCATCTCTTTCAAGATATTCCCCAACAAAGTGCTGCGATGAACCAACAAAACCCACTCCAACACATTCATAGATTTCCAACCATCTCACCCAGATGTCCTATGATGATTGGCCCCAGGCAAACGCAAGCCAAGCCAGTAACAACCCTGATATTTTTGATCATGTTCTTTGGATCACAGCACCCTGGTAGCGTTCGTACTGCTGAAGGTGGTCCTCAAGTCTGCGGAACCTTTCCAAGTCGAAGTTGTTTCTCTGGTACAAGCGGAGAGAAAGACTTTCGTGCAGGCGGTGCAGCAGGCCGCCAAGAGTAAAGTCCTCCTTGGTAAAAAGGAAATAATTGCCGCACACCACAATGCCTAACCCCCACGCCCACAGAAACAGAATGGGCTCCATGATGTCCCAAGACATCTCCCAGAATATGAGCCGCAAGCAGAGACCGAACTGTAGCGTCATGGCCCCCAACCCAGCCCATAGAATCGTCTGAGACAGGACTGCGGCTCGATTGTCCATTCGATCCTTTGCTGCTCTCAGGATCGCGAGCTCTTGGCGCATGTTCGCCAGCCTTCCCTGCAGCTCATTGCCTCCTCCAGGCAAGGCACGCAGGACAGAGTCAGCCACTTCATCGGGCTTCAATAGGATTGCTTCGCCGCATCTCATCACCAGCCCTCGCGATGCCATGGCGAAGGCCACGCTGCGAGGCTCCACACCCGCCCCAAGGCTCGTTTTCACCTGTTGCACGAACTCATCGTACGACATGTGGCTCCGGTGCCTCCTTTCCCTGTCAAGTGCGACCTCCAATGGCCCCATATCGATCTCCACATCGCACCGCGAGGCGGCGAAGCATCTGCTGCGGGTGGTCTCATGGAAGGGGCCCAGATCCGAGGGCCCTTTGATAAAGGTGCCCAACCCGAAAGGGCCCGAGCCCCGTATCGAACTGTGGGCTGACAGGCAAGTCGTCAACCGTGCGTTGCTCGCACCACGAAAGACCGAAGGGAAGTGCATGCAGCTGGATAGTCCTCTGCACCCTACGGTCGCGGCCCCGGCCGTCGACGGCCACCGTGCGGGCACAATATCACTCCGGCCATGGGGCAACCAGAGCCCACTGTTGAAAGTCCACGCATGGCAAAGCGAGACGAAGCTGGTGCGGGCGTTGTGGGCGAAAAGGAGAGCTTCAAGGTCCGTGACCCCGAGCAGGAGGCCCGGAACCGCGGAGGCCCCTCGGAAGGCGGTCGCCATATGAATATGGCAGTCGACAATAAGGAGCCTGCGCAACTGCACTTTCGATCCTCGTGTCCTCATTCCGAGTGAACCAACTGATGCTTCTGGTGATCGCCCCACAGGGAGACCGGAATCTGAAGACAATCCGAGAGCATGAAAGCCCAAATGAACTTGCACTTCGTCACCTTTTCAGGCCATCAAGGGGCCCACACATGTGCAAAATTTTGTACAAATGTGCAGTCGGTCCGCCCACCAACAAATGTCGCCTCTCTCCAGCAAGCTTGAACTTGATCCACGTTGGACCAATTTCGCACCACAACGAAAAGCTCCAGTCTTCTTGCCAAATGTGCTGCAGGGCCAGCCAGCCCTTTTTCAAAGGAAAATAAATGAAATCCATCATGATGCGCAGGCGTGCAAGTTTGTCCTCGTCGTTCTTTGAATTGCGGAGAATATTCTTTCTACAGATTTCACCCACTGCTGGGAAGCCATTACGTGGCGGTTCCTGAAAAGGAGTTGTCTGAGCAGCGTACGGCATTTTCCGCTACTATTGACACCTATTCTGGCGAAATTTCCAGCAATGAGCTTTCCTGGACAAGGACATGTGGTCACAACAAGCGGTGATTTGGGGGTGTGACCCGTTTGCACCGCGCAATTTATTCCCTTTTCGGCAACTGGATTCCGGTCTATGTCACAGATCTGTGCCACATTCTCAGGCTGCTCTCAAGAAGTGTATCCGTCCATTACCGTCAAAAGTGACGTGCGTTTTGGAATCGATTGACACTGTATTCAACTGGTACAAGTTATTTCAGGCGGGAGGTAGGCACTGCATTGTGTTACCCATCTGCACGAATGAGCACAGCATTGCGCACAGGGAGCCAGCGCTCGAATTGACAGAATTATCCCCGCTCTCTTCATGTGGTACGCGCAGCTCCCTTCCCAGTGGGCCCACCCACCCAACCCCTCCCTCCTCCCGTCCTTAGGCGGTGACCCTATAAATGGTGGGCGCCCTCTAAGTCTATCTGGCGGGCGCGGCCCGACGCCGTCGGCGCCGCGGATAGGATCGCGACCCATGCGCGGAACGAACAACCGATCGTTATCGAATCGCTGAACGATTGCCGCCTGAGTAAGCCAAAAGCAGGACGGATTCGTGGCTGCAGCGATGGCCCAGGGCACATTACACTGCCTTGTGCTGTCGAGGCTCGAATCCAAGATGGCAACTCTCGAGAGGGAGTTGCAGAGGGGGAAGCAAGAGAAGGAGGCGGCTGATACGGAGATGGCGGCCCTGAAGGAGGTGGGGAGTTGTGGCGGGATGCGTTGCCGACTGTATCTATCGGCAGATGCCGCCCTCGCGGAAGCAGCGTGTCCACACGGAACTACGCATGCAGGGTAGGCGGAGCATGTTCATTGCTCCAGCTCCTGTTCACAGGAGTTCTTTGCTTTCCATGCTGGATTGATGCTTCAGCAAGCTGTTACGCATTCGCGCCCTTCACCCAACCATATGGCAGGTATCAATGTATTCCCAGGG